TTTCACAAAATTGCAAATATCTCCTGATCTATAAAATTTCGGACCACACATATAGGGGTTTATTCGATAGGTTTTAGGCCCTCTATCACCTGACTTCCGTTGATCCACTACTAACGTTCATATATTCATTCAGAATATAATAAGCAAAAAATCAATGGCCTCCAAGAAAAGCAAACTACAAAATCATGTCCGTAAACATTCATTTACGACCCGATGCATCGCGAGGAATGCGACTCGATGCTAAGCATTCAAGTAAGATTCTTGTTTCCACTTTCGTGATATTGTAAGCGATCCAACTGTATTTCAAGATTTCAACGGATGGTTTCAGAAAGAGCGAAGCATATATATACTCGTAAATTAATTTATGCCACCATTGCATAATAAGATGCCTTTATAATAACGAGTATAAAAACTTCTTTCTAGAAATTTAAACCGGCAGCGTTACAGGAAATATAATGCAAATGGATAGTAGGCATCTCATTTACTGAAACACTCCTTAAAGATTGAAGAAAATAACTTAAAAGTGTGAGATTCCAAGTTCTCCATATAAAAGATGCAAAATCGGCAGATCATTAAACAACTTTGGACATTGGGCAATATACAGGCTGTCCAAGATAAGGATCCTATGCATGGGGATCTCAATACCTGCGGGCGATACAGCTTAGGTTAAATAAGGAAAAAGCTGCGTTTTTGGAACTGCAACGAAAATTGTAATTTCACACTTTGCTTTGATTATATGTGAAAAAAAACCCGGCGGAAGAGTTTCGATCTTCTTGTCATGAATTCTTTTGCGCCCAATCTAAGTACACCTTTATTTCATGCTATATGGAAGCTTAGTCTATCTACACTTTTGCTGTGTGATCTGCTTAGATATGGTCGAAAGCTATTGGACAGATAAACTCAAAAAACATTCTAGAGCAACAAAAAAGATCCGAGCCTTTTTTCTGGGTAATTCACGGATTCAGGGCCTAACGGGAAAGAAAATCAGTGACATGTTTATTTCATATACACCCAATTAGGCAAGCTTTAAATTTCTTGTAATTTGTAACTTGCTGGGAGCTGTAACTATTTTTTACAGTAGCACGACCTACTTATCTGGCGCCTCTTTGAAAAATTCCCACGAATACTAGGTATTTTTATTCATAACTACCTTAATAGTCCTGCCTTGTTAGCGGCAGCAATAAAAAGCGAAGTTTATATAATTTAGTCGAAACTAATTATAACTTATAGAACATCGTAAAACCGCACAATTGAAAAACAAACTATAAAATTGTAGTAATTTTGATATCTGAAAATCAAACGAACCATACCTTAAAGTTTGGAACATATTATCCGTATTATTGTTTACGAGAAGTGCCGAAACATAACCTCCAAAATTACAACAAAAAATGTTCCGCCAAAGTTATGCCTAGCGTGACGTAATAAGTGTGTCCATCACATACTACTAAAAAAATTAAGACAACCATTTACAATTTGCCATGTTGCATGTCCCTCAATCGAGGCTATTAAATCTCAGAAAATGCTTTCTATCTACTCGTATTAGTAAAATTTCTAACAAAACGTGATGAGAAAAATTATTTTTTATTGTTATTTTTAGTCAGAGTCTGAAGCCGCAACAATTGACAACGTCAATCAGGGCGATATCAAATAGTGCATGCAAGCTGCGTTGCCAAACCAGAAAAAAACACGAAATCGGAAGATAGTGTCGTTGAAATTCTGTAAAATCAAGGACGAAATGGGTACGAAGACAATATATATATAGGGTTGGCCATATTCGACGAAAAGATGTGGCAACACTGTAACTTTTGACAGAGATGACAGATCGAGTAATGACGTAGCGCGTTTGAAGCATCAGTCTAAGGAGATTTTTGCAATAGAGCAGTACACTCCACGCGAACGCTCTTAGATTGTTGAAATTTACATTCAACAAATCAAGTCAACTGTGAAATCTCAACGTGCATGGAGAAAAATAAATAAAGTGAAAACTGCGCCTTCCGCGACTACATTGTATCGTTTGTATGGAAGATTTTCATCAGGTGAGGCACTTACTAATCCCAAGCGTCCAAATAAAAAGCGACCAAGGCGATATAATGAAAATATCGCACTCGTATGGACCAGTGTTCAGAGGTCTCCAACAACATCTCAAACACGTCGATCTGAGCAGTTGGGCATAAAACGAACCACTTTACGTCGCATATTGCGTCATGATTTGCATTTGTTCCCATACAAAATTCAACTGACGAAAAACCTGTTACCTGCCGATAAGCATAAGCCACGTCGATTGGAATGGGCCCAAAGAGTCATCAAAATGGCTGAAAGTGACGATCATTTTTGGCAAAAAATCATCAAGAGCGATGAATCTCATTTCATGTTAACCGGAGCCGTAAACAAATAAAATTGTCGGTTCTATGGTACTGAAAATCCTCAAATTAATCACGAGGTACCTCTTTGTGACCAAAAAGTAACTGTTGGTGCGGTATTTGTGCTGGTATGGTCATTGGGCCGTTCTTTTTCGAAGATGAAGCTGGCAAAGCGGTTACCGTCAATCAGGAGCGTTATCGCGATATGGTAATCGATATTTTGATGCCAATTGTTCGTGACAATGATATGGAGCATTTCTGGTTTCAACAAGATGGCGCTCCACCACACACAGCTCGAGCTACTATCGATTTTTTGAAACGATTGTTCACTGGACGTCTGATGTCGAAAAATGGTGATTTTGACTGGCCACCGCGTTCACCAGATTTAACGGCTCTAGACTTCTTTTTGTGGGGCTACTTGAAATCGAAGGTTTATGTCAACAAGCCAAGGACCCTAGACGCACTTAAGGCCAACATCCGATAGGAAATAGCCGCCATATCAACCGAAACATTGGCCAAAACGATGGAAAATGCTGCATCACGGGCACTTTTCACTGTACAGGCTCATGACGGTCATTTAAGAGATATCGTTTTCAAAAAATGATGTTCACAAATCTCCTTGAACCCAAATAAACGATTTTTGAAATAAACAGTAAAAAATGTGTTTTTTCCTATGATTTTAAAAAACATCTTTCCGTCGAATATGGCCAACCCAGTATATACAGCAGCGGTGGCCGCAGAAGTAGACTCTTCGGTCTCCTGATCAGTCGCCGTGGTCTGTGCGGGTTCGAGTCCCGTCCCAGGAGAAATTTTTCTCTTGGCTATGGATGTTGTGATTGTCCGTAGGTGGTAGACGGTCTCTGACTGTCGAACGCGGAGGTACCACACGGCGGATGTCGTAGGCGGAGCCAGAATGTGTGCATATTGCATGCACACGTGTTCCCTCGCCAGAGTCCATGTGGCGTTCCCCCGTTCCCCCTATAGCCCCACGGTACCCAATGAGTGCTTACGCCTTAGGCCTTCGTGGTAGTTGGAGTATAAAAAAAATACTCTTATAACTTAAACTCGAGCTTTCGAAGGTCTATGCCCTCATCGCCTGGAGTAAGTCGGCAAGATTGTTGCTGAAATTGTTCTTAAACGATAGTGAAGGGAACACATAGTCGACGAATAAAAAACTGGACCGATGAGGTTCGATTAGAACGGAATTATTTTATTAATAAATGGCAAATCATAGCTATGTTTCTTATTTTAAATGTTCCTTTAAACACTGATTGATTTGGAAGAACTTGAAAAACTATCAACTATCGAAAAATCCTTCGAGTTTTATTTTTTTCCCTGATAACCTCCACATTATTCAATACGTGCCGTGCCGGCCGACTCTTGAATAATGTGGAGGTTATCAAGGAAAAAAATAAATCTAGAACGATTTTTCAATATTTGATAGTTTTTCAAGTTCTTCCAAATCAATCAGTGTTTAAAGGAAAATTTGAAAAAAATTAAAAAAAATCAGCTATGATTTGCCATTTATTAATATAATAATTCCGTCCTAATCGAACCTCATCGGTCCAGTTTTTTATTCGTCGACCATGTGTTCCCTTCACTGTCGTTTAAGAACAATTTCAGCAACAATCCCGTCGACTTACTCCAGACGATGAGGGCATAGACCTTCGAAAGCTCGAGTTTAGGTTATAAGAGCGTGCTTATGCAATACTTTGCCTTCTACCCAAAGAAATTCAAGGATATTTTCTCCTAACAGTTGAGGCAATTACTATGAATAAAATATATATATATATATATATATATATATATATATATATATATATTCCGAGCACACAACATAGATAAACATGTTTAGTATAAATATCAAAACAAATTGAAATCAAACTTCTTCAAAAAAGCAACTCAACAACAACAATTTGGAATGTTTTTACAAGAACAAAATATTGTAACGCCCTCGTATAACTGGCACTTTTAGCGCCGAGGAGACGCTGGCAGGGTCGACGCTTATGCAACCAGAGTTGCGCGACTATGTATGGAGCGTGCTCGCAGTCTGTACCGCTTGTGACGCAATTCTTGATGCCAACTAGACTACTTTAATGGAAGTCCACGAGTCTGCCTAGAAAACACTAGAACATCTCTTGACGCGTCGATAGGTGAATAAACACCCGGCCAGATGGCGGAAGCACTTACAGTCGAGCGAGTGGAGAACTAGCGCGGAATTGAGGTCAAATGATAGTCCAGTTAACAACATTACAAATTAGTGTCGCAGTAATAAGCTAAACTTTGAACAGTATTGGCCATACATCTTTTGCTATTACACATGCTGTGTAAAAGGCACAACTTATCAATAATCATTCTTATGTAGGAATGTGGTTCAAAATTCATTTAATGTATTACAAAAATTATCAAGTAATATCACGAGTCCTGGAATTTTCAAATATTTGATAGACATCCGTAAAAACTACTTTACTTGATATTAGATTGCTAATATCTCATATATGACTTGAACATGACTTGTAAGTAACCTAAAAACCGAGTCACGTTGAGAATCTTATCTAGTTGGCAATTAATGGTGTCGACTTTCGACTTAGAGTGGCATAGTGTGCGACAGTCTCTAATGGAGTAGAAACAAAAACTCACCTAAAGTCCAAACTAAGGTTCCTTTGATGATTGCTGAGCCTGGCCCTGACGGGGCCACCGATGCCCCCTTTCGCGACGCCGTGCACCGACGGCACTGCATCTCGACGCCGCGTCGCCAGGGCCGGACCGACGCCGACGCTGCCACCCTCCATCTTTTAGCAGAAGCTAGAAATAATAGAAATATGTTAACTTTTTTTGAAATATTCGAGTGCACGCATCCACAAAACTAGTTCAAGTATTACGCAAGCAATTTTTTACAATTATTAACCCCCTTCCCCCTTGCCAGCAAAAATAAGCAAATCGCTTACCCCCTCCATGCTTACGTAAACATTTTGGTCAAATTCTGTAGAGAATCCGAAAAAGTTAAAAAAATATTGCTGATGTAATCAGCATCTAGACCCTCCTGTCCCATCTCAACAAAAATAAGCAAAGCGAAGGCCCCTCTGCCCAACTTTACTGCTTACGTAATATTTGAATGCGAATGCCCCTTATTGCAGCCGCGGTGCCCCGGTATTCAGGCTTCTACCTCCGCGCCTGCTTCGGTATATCAAAAAAGTATACATTAGAACATTTGATTAAGGAAGATTTAACAACGGTGTCCGTGGATATTTAATTTTTTCCTAAATTCCGATAAGGCTTACCGATGTACTAATTTGATTTTTTCTTTTTCAATATAAATCGATTTGTAAAAAATGGATTTTATAAGATAGATTAAGAAAATACATTTTTCAAAAACAAGCCGTTGTTCAGCTGTTGAGAAAAAAATGAAAATTTAAAAATATTTTTCTCGATCCCTCCTTATTAAATAAAAGCTTTTAAAATGTAATATTATGCCACTTTCTTAAATGCATGAAGTTTTCGCACATATTTCTGCAAAATTTGAAAATATTCCCCCAAGTTTTACGTAATTGTTGTAAATTTTCGATAGAAAACACAGAAAACTTCCACCTTTTGTATACAGTGAATTTTTACATGTTGCATCACAAAGATTTACATGTTAAAGTTTTGACTGTTAATTTTTGTTCCAGAGCAAATGCAAATCCGAAATTTTCTATATGCATATTCAGAAGTTTCAGTGGCATGGCCACAGTTTTTAACTAAAAGGGTGAGTTCGCTATAATTTCCATTTTTTCTGACGATAAAACAAACAGAATTCATTAGTTCTGAATATTTATCTGAATCAATCATATTTGTTTTATGATATATGTGCCTATATGTTGGGAATTGCTATATTATGTTGTTAAAAAAATTCAGGGATGTGTTTTGATAGTTCATTTTATATAAAGACTTAATTAAAATAAGTATCTTTTAAATAGGTTTTATTGGTTAAACTGTTTATTAATGTATATGTAAATTCCCAGCTTTTTAATTTTTCTTTTGTAGAAGCCTAAAGAGGGAAATAAATTATTCCGAAATGTCGGCAATTTTGCAACAGGAAACTGTGTTTCTTTGGACCCCAAATCCAATTAATTACAAGAAATTTATACAAATAAGGGTCATTAGAAAAATAATTGTATACAGAGCGGTAAATACATAGTAGCAACATTTATTAAACGTGTGCGTCGATCACGCTTTTGAGGACGAATTCACTTCCGGAACAAAGAATTCTAGTATTTGAAATTCTTTTCCCAGAAATACAAATTCGATAAAACCCGACTCGGGCCAGCATCTTTTTTAACTTTACTCGACAAAACGATTATGACTAATTTTTATCCCTTTACATCAAACAAATCTTACCTTGCTAACCACTACCGCTTCATTTCTTCCCGTTGTGAACCGTCACGACAAACGCGCACTACTCTAGGGTTCCAACAACACTGTCCAGGATAAAAACTGTAACAAATAAAATAAATTGGTATTGGTCATGAATCAATTATCAATCGGGAATAACCGAATAGTTTTTAAAAAGGAGGTTAACAACAAATCTGGATAAACCTGAAAGTTTTTAGGTTATGAGCTTCCAAGTCGAAATGACAGTAGCATGTCATCCTATACAAGGTGTCTTCAAAGTTGTGACATTTTACCTCGAATAGATCTTGCAGGTTTTTTCTAGTACATCAAAGTCTTAAGATTATCGATATGTTAACCTCCGCAAAATCAATCAAACCTAAACAAAACCTAATCCGGTCCTGCACCTCGATCAGATCAAACGTGAACATGTACGATGCGGATCTTTACTCAATCCAGGCGCTAGCCGCGTTTGTAAACAAAACCTTCTATTCGTCATTGTCAGTCACAGCGGTTCATAGGACCTTTGCTCTTGGTTGAAGTCTTGTAAGTCAGTAGGTATGTCAGGTCTGGTTGCACAGATACCAAACAAAGTCAGGGAGAAAGAAGGGAAGAAGAAAGTAAGGAAGGAAGGAGGGAGAACAAAGAAAAAATAAGTGCGTCAATTTGAGGGGTGCCTTGGCATTGCTAATTAGTAATCGGCAATTTTAAATTGGTCCTAAAATTAATTTTGGGATTAGGATGAGGTAAGGGATGTCAAGGTTTCTGTGAAGGGTCTCGTTGGAAACATACCATGGGGCGTTAGTGATTGTACGCAAGGTTCTGTTCTGCAAAACCTGCAGGCTATGCAAATGCGTTTTGGCGAGAAAATACCAAGCCGCACTTGCGAAAGTGATCGCTGGTCTAATAACCATCTTGTATAGCCGAACTTTGTTGATCAAACTTAATTTTGATGTTCTACATAGCATACGGTAGAGTTGCCGAAACGAGATTTGGAATTTAGTTATAAACGCTTCAGTGTGCTTCTGTCAGGTCATTCCCTTGTCAAGAGTGACACCGAGATACTTAGCAGAGCTTTCCCACGGTACCCGAGCTCCATTCACTGAAACCTCAGACGGGGCGCCGCTACGTTTTTTAGTACAGTAGATTGCCTTCGTTTTAAACAAAACCTTTACACATCGGTTAAAAAAAACACTGTTAAACCAATATCGGTGTTGTCCATATTAATTTAACTTACGGCGAGTGTCTTCGAAATGATACCGATGCTTCGCGAGCGCATGCAGATCGTTTTTAAAGATCCTTCCTAAGTGTGCGAATTCAGCAATTTGTTACGTCCATTCTAAAAGCCTACACCAATACTTGGCTATGACGAGCACATTATATATATATACTCTATACAGTACGTTTTTAATTGAATAACAAACATTACTTATCTCTATCCGAGGTTTTTCGTGATTATGTCATCAAAGTGATACGAGATCGTTCGTCCAAACAGAAATGCCTGGTTCATTTCAGAGTCCAAGCTGGGGTGAAAAATTGTAAATGTGGCATTTTTGGCATCAGTGGAAGACGTTCTGTTATTAAAAAAGCGCTAATATCAAAAATACTTTCCATACCTCCACCATTGAAACAGAAAATGATGGATTTATTTTATATAATTTGAGATGTAGAAGCTTACGATACATTGTACGCTTAAGTGAACATGCCTGATCAAGCTCCGCCTAGAATTAAATTGTAAATTTCAGACCAAACAAAATTATTTCAGTATACAAAATTATTATTGGAGTTTCAAAATTATTCGAGTAGTCAAAACAATAATACGAGGGGTACCCAAAAAAAACATGAATTATTTTTTAAAAGCTATTTATTTTCAACTTTTTCACCAAGTAACCTTATCTCCTTCAAAATACTATCCACTACATCTAATACACTTGTCTCACCGGTGCTTCCACTTCTTGAAGTCTTCCTGAGAAATGTCTGAAAGCTCCTCCCTCGTTTTTGTCTTGACCTCTTCAATGTCGTCAAAGCGGCGTCCTTTCATGCCCCCTTTCATGCGTGGAAATAAGAAAAAGTCGCACGGAGCCAGGTTAGGCTAATAAAATGCTTGAGGCAGCGGAACCATGCCATTTTTAGCCAGAAACTGTCGAACAGAGATCGCTGTGTGCGCAGGTGCATTATCGTGGTGGAAGAAGCAGTCTCCTGACTGCCACAAATCGGGTCTTTTTGCCGAACACTGTTTCGCAATCGTTTTAAAACCTCCAAATAGCACAAGCTGTCGAATTTTTTCAACATTTTCGTCGATTCGGGCAGCTGATGGACGTCCAGAGCGAGGTTTGTCATCAATCGACATGTCGCCATTTTTAAATCGAGCAAACCACTCGTACACCTGAGTTACTCCCAAAGCATCATCTTTGTAAGCTATTTTCAACATAAAAACAGTTTCAGCAGCATTTTTACCAATTAGAAAGCAAAATTTCACAGCTGCACGTTGCTCACTGAAGCTTGCCATCGTAAAAAACGAAACAAGCACGAAACAGCCCTAGCAAAAATAATGAATACAGAGGAACGAAACAAGCCAGATCGACAACTCAGGTGGCACTGAACTGGTAATGAGTTACGCTGTACTCCTCTAGGGGCAGAAATGTGTACTACACAAGCTCCGCCCACTGCAATGCAATTCCGGTTATTTTTGGGTACCTCCTCGTACTTCAGCTACTTCAAACGATTTACTTCTTTTCTTTACTCTACTTTTTCATTTCTTTCCTTCTTTCCCTTTTCTCCTTAAACATGTTTAGTATCTGGGTAGCCAGACCTGACAGACTAACAGACCGGCGAAACTTTTAACTAACAGTGACGAATGGAAAAGTCAAGATTCGCTTCGAAATTTGCGAGTTTGAACAAACGCGTGAGAAGTAGAGTTAATCTACTTGACGCCATTTTTCAGTTTTGGGGTGAATGCGGCAAACTCTTGTATTACCGGACAATCAAGAATTGATTTTCTATTGTTGCTTCCTTCTATCTCCATCGCCCACGCTTTCCGGAACTTTGTTACAAAAAAAAACATTCTAAATTATTCATAATCCGAGTTTCCAACTTGTAATGAAACACAAAGTACATCCCTCAGTTTTCCACCCCCGCGCCATTGATTTACCTAATTTACGTGTGGGTTTGTCGCGTATTTCCAAGCGTATCCCATCTTTCAGAACGAAAATGTAATTTAGTTTGTATTTCATTGACATTTATAGTTCGGTTCCAAATTGGAAAGCAGTAGAGAACTGTAAGCGATGTTGTCACGCGCTCATCGAAGAAATCCACTGAAAGTCTACATATTGAATTTTTGCATGAACATTCAAATGTTGAACAATTTTCTTCTGATCTCCTATTTAAAATAAGATATACAAAAAATCTTCACTCTCAAGTAGTCAAAGTCAAATCCTACGGTAAGAAGATCAGTAGCCAGAAGTCAGGCTTTGCGATCTACCTATCATTGGATAAAGTAGGCTTTATGATACTCAGTCGATGCGAATATTTCCATCCCCTGGGAAAACCTCAATTTTCAACACGTCTGTCTTCTGGCGTATACCATGCCTATCCACGCTACGAGCGATTTCTCTTAAACTTGATTGAAAAACATTGGATTTGACAACATGGAGCAGTCCAAGCAAATGAAGGATACGATGTTGCCAAATCGAATTATATTCAGATATTCCCTTGATAACAGTTTATTATGCTTCGTGATCGAAAATATATTAGCTGCGGCTACTATGTTTTTGATCAGGTCTGAAGCTCCACCGCTATTCGTAAATTGTGATTCCGGAATCAAATCCATAGATTCACAGAACTGAATTTTTGCGAACCAACTTGCTGGAAATACGTATTTTAAACGTGAATGCTTCAATTCAACCGACAATAATTGAATATATATATACACCAAGTAGGTCCAGTAGCAAAAAATGTTTGAATATGTGTTAGATTTTCTACAAATTCTGAATTTTCAAATACTCATTAAAATCGGGTTACTACGATGGCAATGACCTATTTAGAGTATCGGGAAGGTGAACTTGACTTTTCAGTATATTATTTCGTCTATCAAAAATTTTGCGGCCGATTCCGCCTCGGCCTGAAAAAGTTAAGAATCCGATAAAGCAGAAAGTATACATATAGGTTGTGCATCTGGCTTTGTGAATGGAGGGTTGAATATATTTGAATTCAGAAAAACTGGTGACTACCACGAGGACATGAATGCCGAAGTTTTTGAATGTTGGTTCAAATCCATATTATCCAAGCTCGAACCAGATTCGACGTACAATGGACAATGCGACGTACCACAGTAGACGTATAGAAATCCTTCCTACTTCAAATTGGCGAAAAGGTGATATTTATAATTGGCTGGTATCTAAAAACATAACGTGCAATGATACGATGCTGAAGGCACAACTGCTGCAAAATCGCGCGGGAACATAAACCCCGATTTGTCAAACAAGCTGTTGATGAAATCGCTAGGGAGATGGGATTCATGGTATTGAGACTTCCACTGTATCATTGCGAGTTGAATCCAATAGAACTGATATGGGCTCAGATCAAAAATGAGGTGGCTAGTAAAAATACGACATTCAAAATGTCTGACGTTCGTATTCTGTTGGAAGATGCAATCGGTGCTGTAACAGCTGATGCGTGGCAGAAATGTATCTTTCATGTGATTAAAGCAGAAGAGAAGTTTTGGGAACTAGATCACCATATAGAAAAAGCAATAGAGCCAGTAATCATCAACCTTGGTAGCAACGACGACTGTGACAGTGATGATTCCTATAATTAAAGCTCAAGTAGTGACGATACTCCTACATCTCCTGACTGACCAGATTATTAACTTTTTGTGTTTCAAGAAAATTTATTAATACAACTAGAACACAGGTATAGCAAATATTTGGTGATAATCAATACATTCCAACATAAATTGCTCATCATCATCATCATCATCGTTTTATGTTTAAACTTTTTCCATACTATCTGCTGAATTTCGCGTTATTTGAATTTTGTTGTTGTACTTCCATATTTCACAATGTATTGTTTAAGATTCATATGTTTGACAATTATATGCTATCAAACATAAAGAAATTTCTCTTACCTCATTAGTCATATACCTTCAATGACGTAAAATTGTGTGATTATAACATAGATGTTACTCGAAAATGTCCAAAAAGCATGGCAAATCAACAACGATTATCTGGGAAAACCACTAATCGTTTGACAATCGCATTTCGCCGATGCGAATTCAGGCACGAACGGTTACATCAGAACATGTGAGAAATGTCTTTACTGTAAATCTTTAAACATAAAATTCTACTACATATCTACTTTCAGTAGGATGTCAAACCCATTATGAAGCTCAGTTCTCACGAGGCGTGGCACGCTAGCGTGAGTCTTGCTTTCGTGGAATTGCCTCTGCCTGAACGAGGTGTCGTGAACTTGCCTCTGACGTCATCGGGACAGCGACAGCTCCACGATTGCCCACGACCGACATCAAACACGTTTGATTTTCGGGCGTGGACACGACGATCGGTAGTCAGGTATAACCACGTAATGTGAGGAGAATCACGTTCTAAGAGAAAATCAAACTTATCTTTAGACATGCGTAGCAAATTTTTAAGATCCTCAGGGAACTTTTGTGATCCCCCAAGTTTCTCCTTGAACCCATTTACTTTCTGACTAAATAGGTAACGCTTATTCTTCCAATTTTTCATCTGTTCACATAACTTTCTTAGCCTTTTTGCTACCATCGCATTTAAAACCGAACTTAAAAGCTCACAACTTTCAACCACATGTTCCGCCATAGTCAGCTCCAAGGAATTAACTGAAACTGAATTGTGAACCATCTGAACAGTCCACGACTGGTGAGAACCTAGGTTAAAATATTTACTGTCGCGCCACTTCCGGGCTCCCGTCCATACCGACAAACGGTAGACGCGGCTTCTTTCAAATTTGCCGCTGTCTTCAATTTTGATATCAGACTATAGTTAGGTTTTGATATAAGGGCGTATTCTGTAGCAAGGTAAAAGAAAGTATACTTAATTAAAAAAGATTTTCCTTAAATGAACCAATATTTCATATAGCAAAGTGAATAATATCTAGGCCTGCATGAAAGTACGAATTGTTTATTCAGTCAAATAGATCATGTAGAGAATTTCTAATAGAATGAAATACTTCGACACTCTAGATACTACGTATCTTGCTATTGCCTTCAAAAACATAAACATCTGTAGCCATAACAATTATTTTTACAAATTCCATATAATTTTTATCAGACCTAATATCACCTTCTCCATTCATCCGCAATTTTATCAATTATAAATTATTGAGATAAGAATCTTATAGAAATTGCTCCAAAGATGAATCAAGCACAAATATTTAGGTATTCCTGGCACAGATATGAAAAACACAACAAAATCCGGTACGCCAGAACATGGATTAAAACTATATAGAGTAGGGTCATGTCATGTCATAGATCATGCAAAGTACGAAAAAAAAGGAAGTAAACTTGTTTTTGCAGAGTATAAAAGCAGTGAATCACATGTTACTGCTTTTTGATTTACGACAATTGAAGATTGTCATTTATTTTAGGCCTCTACAACGATTACGATCGAAATCACATTTAAATGACTCTCTTTACGTAGAGTGTCACTGTCCGTCACTCCGTCTAAGAAAAATTGAAATTTGTCGTAAGGGGAACTAAAAGATCATCACAGGGTGTAGAGTTTTGAGATTTTTGCAAGTCTATAATTTGAAAGTATATGACTTAGATTAGATTGCATTGAGAAAGCAAGCATTATAAAAAAAAACTGGCGCTCTGTAGAGGGAGTGACAATTGTCCTGGCGCAACTCAAAAGTCCATAGTACGCATACGACCTCATTATTTTCGTAATTAATCTCGAATCGTTGGCAAGTGATGCAACCCAGTGTAAAAATATTGTCAAAGGTCATGGATGAAATTCAAGAGATACACAGAACGAAAAGGAGTCAAAAGCAGTATTATTCTGATGTACCATGTGCCAATATGTAACTGACCGATTTAAATTGCGCCGGAGTAGTTGTTTAAAGCACAAGTGTCCAATTCATCATGGAGCGCTACATGATCCCACAACGCGTCCGTATTGTTAAAACGTTTTACTTAAATAATGAGTCAACTGTTGCAACGATTCGGAAGCTACGAAAAGATTTCGATCGAAATAATGTGTCCAGTGTCAACACCATTCAGTTGGTGCGGAAATTTGAACAAACAGGTGAAGTTAAAGACTCGCCAAGGTCGGGCCGTGTACGAACTGTTCGTATTCCGGAAAATAACGAGAGGGTTAGTGAAAGTGCAGTGGAGCGCCCTGAGACGTCTACCAGACATCGTTCTCAAGAACTGGGTATTCGTCGCAAGTCATTATGCACTATTTAAAAAAAAACTTGCATTTGCGGCCATACAAACTTCAGTTTACCCAAGAACTACAGCCTAGTGACCATGAAGGTCGCCGACGATACAGTCATGTAATATTGCAGCTTAATAACCAAAATAACGATTTTTACCGACTACTGTTAAAGAGCGACGAAGCCAACTTCGATATGAGCGGATTTATGAATAAGCAGAATTGTCGTATCTGGGCATTAGAGAACCCTCGTGTCATCCATCAGCGTCCACTACATCCCCGTCGAGTCACAGTTTGGTGTGGTGTTTGGTATGGAGGTGTCGTTGGACGTTACTTCTTTGAAGACGCTGCAGGTAATTCTCTTACTGTCACTGGCGTGCGCTACAGTGATATGATGCAAAACTTTCTGGCTCCTCAAATCCAACAATTTAACCTGCAAAACATGTGGTTCCAGCAGGACGAAGCAACTTGTCACACAGCTGGGGAAACAATGAATCTTTTGCGAACAATATTTCCGGGACGTTTAAATTCTCGATTTGGTGATGTCAACTGGCCACCAAGGTCACCGGATTTAACGGCTCCTGACTTTTTTATGGGGATTTTTGAAAAATATGGTTTATGCCAACAAACCAAATACTGCAGAGCAGCTGAAGAACAGTATTACGGAAGCGATGGAAAATATTCCTCCCGGAACCTACCAAAAAGTGATGGAAAATGTAATCAAGATGGCGACTTCTAGAGGCGGACATTTGTCTGATATTATTTTTCATACATAATTTCTGAGTTTCAGTAAAAGATTAAGATGAAACAAATTGACGTATTTGATTTCATTTCACAAATATTCAAGATGCAAACCAGTCAGTTACATATCACACATCCTGTACTATATTCATCAACAAAGTTTAATTGTTTTCCGAGATTCCAAACAGTTATTTCTAAAAACGCTTTGACAAAAAACTACGTAGCGGTGATTATGCTGCAAAATTCATTTTTTAAAATGCCTTAAGACGGATGAAGCTTACTAAATAACATCCTGATACAAAAATGTGTTCATATTACGATAATACTAGTTTTCCGTGATCTCAAATCGTCCGCTCTAAAAATACTCCGACAAAAAGTATCTCAGAGGCTATTTCTGCTGCTTGTTAAATTCGACAAATTGCTGCAAAAGAAATTATATGACCTAACCTTCCCCAAATTGCATCTATATCTATATAAAAACTTGTTAATCTAATATGAAGATGCAAAGGCATGATTTAACTGAAGGTCATACTAATAGTTTTCAGCGAGGTCTACTGGCTGTTTCGAACTGCATGATAATCGAGTCTAGCAGAATCTCACTGCAAACATCTCAGTGTCGTTAGAATTCATACGAAAACAAACGATAATAAATATAATTCAATGAATTATTAAGTAGATAGCAAGGTTGTATAGATCACGTTTCAATAAGCAAAGTACTTGAAAAATGCGCATATTTCTGTTATCATTCTCGAAAACGCATAACCTCTGTGTTTGTTCGAATTCTGATCGAAGTGCCCATCAGGGTCACTCGGACCCCGTTGGGGGGAACTGCTTGGTAGTTTGTCAGAACATAATAAATAAATACGATTCTCCGAAAAAATCTTGGCCCTAGCGCGTTTTTGAAAAATTATATTTTTTTTTCTATATACACCATATATATAAAGTGTCCTAAGGACCAAAAACTATGTTCTACTAGCTCGAGTACAATAATTCTATAAAATATATGCAAAAAAATCCCCAATTCGATTTTCAGATACGGCGAGCGTTCTTTCCATGTATTTATTATTAGAATTAAGAAAGGGGGCATTTTAGGCAGGATGTAGGCTATGTAGCTGGAAGTTCATTACAAGAGTCATAAAGTATAGCTTATGTGGTTAAGGTGAAAACTGCAGCTGTTAATCACTTTGCAATTTTTTTTGTATCGCTCCCCAATTTCGAAATGTAACCGGGGGAGGGGATAAACTTGCACAATGCATTAAGAAACGTAAAACAAACGATATGACGTATATATTGCTTTTATAACGTTTTCGATCGTGCTCGACAGATCGGTTTTTCAGCCATATACATTTTTCAAATTCTTCCGATTGTTTTAAAGCCTATAATTTGAAAAGTACATGACTTGGGATTTTTTTTATGTTTGCCTGATAACTATTATGTCTTGGCCGATCCCCTTTTCTGGCTTGACTTCGACATCCTCTAGAACGAACTATAAAAGTCTTTTTGCATTTCTGCATATTTTTGAATTGTGAGGACTAACCTACAAGGAATTTTAAATCAACAAGTTTTTTATGTTTTTATGTCACGAACATCAATGTCACTGATTTACGTCGATCTGCTTGACTCACTATTTTTTAACCGAGTAAACTCAGAAACACCTGCATCGATTCTGACAAAATTTAGAGAGGGGTATATTGTGGGCTTATGTCTACGTCATTCTTGAAAATCGATGTAATGGAGCGAAGTCATTTGTACAAAAAACAACAAAAAAAGGTTCAAGTTTACTCCCAAACTTCATTTTTGTAATGTTTTACAAGCAGGTTTACAACTTTCTGATCTTTGTTCTGGCCACTTTGGGGCGTGGTAACAAGTTTTTCGTGAAATGACAATTTTGAAATTTCGCAAGACTGCTTTTTTGTTACATAATTATATCAACAATGATACTCAAAAACACTTGCGTGTCGATTATTTTCGGCAGTACTTTTGATCTGTGTTTATCAGAAATTTTAAAATAGGCTTTAAATCTGAATGTGTAGGGCAAAGCACTGAGTCAGTTTATTTAAAAACCACATTAGCCCTCAAAGTAAAGCGGTGACACGGAACAGTAGAAATCTAGAAATATCCCACCCTTTCTGAAGGCGAGAAAATACTATGAAAATCAAGAAGGTCATAAAGGCGACCTACAATTGAAGGAACGGCTGACGATACGGCACTAAGGATTCAAAAATAAACCATAACCTCACAATAGGAGAGTGCCGACGCTGATATGGAGCAGTAGAAACCTAGAAATACCCCAGCCTTTCTGAAGAGAGAAAATACTATGAGAATCAAGGAGGTCATAAAGGTGTCCTACAATTATAGGAGCGACTGAGGATACGGCCCTTAGAGCTAAGCGAAATTCGGGACCCTCTTTGTCCATCTTCCCAAGTGTCAAATCCCCGGTTGAATACATGCATTATGAAGATTGAAAACATTGTTTGAAGTACCATCGCCTCGCTATCTAATTTTACCTTTACCGTCTGTTATTCCAAAGTCTATTCGTTCTTCCATGATATCGTTTATTTCGGCACTTAACATTGTATAAATCTCATTATCACAATCGAGTTAATTGAACTAGATTACGTGCTTTCCTTATCAATCACATGCGTCAAACAGGTATACTATAATGATAATGGAAACAAGCCAAGTAAATTCATAAGTAAATATTTGTCTTCTCCTTTGGTTACAGCGAGGGACATAGCATTCACCAATTTTGAGGTGCTCATCTGTTATCTGTTTCATATCGTTTTAGTTGTTTTACCTTGATACCACACCGCTTTATTGACATAGTACTGCAACAACGAGACGTAGAAACGTTGAATATTACAGCTGCATAGGTCAAAAAACAAACATATTTTGCCAGGTATTTTGTTCTCGCGAACTGGGGAGAATCCAAGGGAAAAACAGAATGCATGAAAGCAGATGTCGCCACAGCTGGTAACAGTAGGTAGCAGTGATATGGGTGCATATGCAACAACACCGTGAAAATTACAAACAAAACATGAATTGCCAACTGATGTTCCTTTTGTTGATGATACAGTAATGACTTTAATGTTTTTAATGCAGTTTTGATTTATATAAACATGATGTAATGTAACTCCAAAATTACTGTTTACAAATCTTTAGGGCTAGTAATTGCTTTTGGCATCAAACAGGTGGCTCTTACCAGGTCTGTAAATTAAGTGATGAGCCTGGCAATGTAGTGTTGGATCTGGCAACACTGGTTTCTGGTACTGCTGTAATTATATTATATATTTTAAGTACTTTTTTGCAAGTATTACTGATTTTAGTTACTTATAAGTCTTGGATTGTATTGTTCTTGTATACTATTTCCTGCACATACAGATATTTATGCCTAGGTGTAGAATAAATATACTATGTAAACTTGGAAAATTACTGGAGTTCAGTCTAACTATTTATTGTTAACTGATTCAAGTATATAAATAAATAGAAATTTTGGGACAGTCGAAAATATTCAACTGACTGTTTAAAATTGTAATTACATTTGAATAAGAATATCAGCCTCATCATTTAATTTATTGACCTATAAAGAGGTGGTGATAGGGTTAGTGGTGATTCTGACCATGCACGTCCATATAGCATAATTCAAGGGACAGGTTAGGCTTACAGGCTCAATCAAGCAGTTTGAAGCTGATTTGGTAGCTGCTTAAAGTGGTGGGAGTAGAGATTTTCTGAGGAGTAACAAAATGCACAGGTCACTCGTTCAAAAAATAGGTACTCTTTTAAGAATATTTTGTCATCAAGCAAGGGGGCATATGACTTTTTTTCCCCCTGATGAAGGCTCATAGTTCTGACTAGCTAGTCTGATAACATGCAGTCATGTACACAAAGATATACCAGCGATTCAGCATTTTCAAGGATGCACTACTAATGCTCTATTAAAGTTAGAGAATATTTGCATCCTCAAGCAGTTGGTTACACTATTACTCTTTACCTATAGTCAGTAATGGATATTTCACTGATGCCTGATAATATTTTAAACTACTGTTTGAGAGCTGCAATATAAATTTACCTGTTCCTGATTTTACCTGCCTCTGTAATCACAGTTAATGACTGCATAGATATGGGATGTTACTGGAGATATTAGGTAGTCATAAAAATAACCTTCCCTAAACCTAAGAACAGAACTAGCCCTTTTCTCAGATTTGTAAATGCAAGCTTTGCTATCTACTCAGCATTATAGGGGTATAAGGAGATACTACAAATTACAATATTATTTTAAGAGGGGAACCTGGTGCAAACACAACACTTGTAAAAACAGTTTTGATACAATGTGGTTCCAATTATTAGGCATACATAGTGATGACAATTATGTATATCAAAAAGCATGCAAATAATAAATGATGTACAAGTCCTACAGACTACAATAATATAAATATATAGAATCCTATTACAATCAGTATCTCTTAATCATATGATTTTACTATTGAAGAGAGGGAAGGCAAGTGAAGTTTCAAGAGTAACTTGTACCATGGTTATTTAAACATAATCAAAAAGAATGATTCAGTATCATGGCCCTCTTTTATGTATCACTTTGGGATCTAGTTTGGCAGCAGTTGCTTTCTGATCGAGTTCAATAAATATATACACTTTATTACATATGGTGTTGAATTTTAATTGTATTCAGCATACTTATTAAGTAGTATTGGTCATTAAAACAAATATTAAAACCTTATTAAAGCAGCTTCTATGTTTATGTATTCACTTTAAAAATACATGTTACAAGAAAATAGATCTCTGTCTCCACAATGCAAAGTAAGGACTAAATGGGTGTCCAATTCATTTTGGGATCAAGGTGCATTTAAGTTGTTTCAACTTTGATATCTCTTTTTGGTTGTTACACATAACTGATAGTGTGCACCGTCAATATGCAACATTATTCATTTATTTATCTGCTTATAGGTCGAATTCCAATATATTTGCTAGTTCGTGAATCACACCTTCGCGACATTTCTGCAAGCCATTTATGATAAGACTTTCTTGCTTGGGGGGCAACAAGTAGCACTACTGGTATAAAAAACAAGGAAACAGGGTGTGCCTTCTATAGCTAACCAAACATGCAGAACCCACTTATTTGCAGAATAAAAACTGTCACGGTGTCGACACACGGAAAAAGCTAGAAATCGTCGCATTCCAATGATGTTTCGCTTACTTTCTATTATGCACAACAAATACATGAAATCCCAGGGCCGACGGAGGATGGTCTCGATGCCAGCAACTGTCAGGCTATACACAAAATTTGCACAGTGGTATCCATTATAATCCTTGCGGAGCACGCGGATCGTATGTTTCATACGCGCTTTTCATGGGAAGAGTTCAGATTTCCCGACGACCGATTTTCTTTTTTCCGTATGCAATGCAGTTTTGAAAGTATACTTGAATCAACAACTGCTGTGAATCTCGAACTGTCAAAACTACGGTGAAGGAGGCGCCATCGTTGCGTACGCGAAAGTAGAGGGGATCGAATTGTTGTTAACGCAGTTGTCAGACTGTGCAATGTGGAAGGTGATTTACGATAGTTCAATATTTTTCTGCATGCACATAACACATAACACAAAAAGATGTTACAAGTTCCAATTAAAATGTCCTACGAGATAAAGGGCCCCATAGGATGTCACTTGGAACGAATTTTTCAAAATACTTCTGAACGACATAGCAAGTCGACGAGATTTTCACAACCTGATTGATGATGCCCGTCATAGGAAAATTGAGTTTGAGAAAACGTCTTGTTTCAGTATAGACTTACTAATAATTATAATGGATCTGATATACGTACTGGTTACGACATTTTGCAAATACAGTAATTCTGATAACAAACACCAATATAAATTTCATGGTCATGGTCCCTTGGGATTTCGGGTAGACCTTAAAGTTTGCATATTTGGCAAAACTATGTGTACAATTTTGAATTTTGAAAATATTCAGGATTTGCATCTGTTCTGATAAAGTTTTTGGCACCACTCGCTCATCAGATAGTTTTGGGAGAACGTACATTTCCTTAAAAGATTTCTTTTGGCACTAGTCGGCCCCCTGAGGAAATTTAAGATATCCTAATCAAGTTTATTGGATTTGTTGATCGGAATTAAACTGTTTGCATAAATGGCCTACCTACTTTTTAGCTTAAGGATTAGTAAAATTAGAAATATAGGTTAGTCCAACTCTGCGGCACTAAATGAGTATTATGGTAAATTGTTCACCATGGACTCATCATGAGCCATCAACTGTCTATTAAGTACGTTACCTAAATTTTGTCGTATACAGTTCATTTAAAAAGTTCACATAAAATATGTTCCTCATCGCTGAGTGGGCCCTTATATCAAGCGTTCCACGAAGTGAAACTTATCGTTGCCCTATGGCTCTGTATTTATCAATACATCCAGGGGCGGACACGGGGTATGGCCCTCGACGAACTGGGTCTCAAGTGGGCTCCAGAACAGATCACGGTTTCCAACACTACACACCATGCATTGCGTTTTGGGCCTTAGGGAGACGACGAACCCCAAAACAGTTCCAGAGTAGATAGATACGTCAGGTATGCCACTGAATGCCTCCAATAACACTGCCCGAGTCTACGGATTAAAACATTCCATAAACACTGACATGACCTAGCCCAACGATCGCTAGACCAAGATTTCCGCGCGGTAGATACGGCAACATTTCACCGTCGCCTACAGAGACCCTTCAAATTGTTTCTTCCACAAAAGTGTCTGCCAGTGTCTGCTAAAATGCACAATGAATTTGTCCAGATACCTCAAGTTCCAACCACAAGGATACACGGCCAAAATCGATTTCTTTTCTATGACTACAAGTCAGAAGCATGGAAGAGTTCTCTGTTTACATCGTAGCCTGATCGATGTTTACCAAAGGTCAAAGCAAAACAACGTTTGGTACACTTGCACTCGAGTTCCATTCTCCTATTTTCATTGGCTTCTCTTTTCTTGCAGCTTGGCGTAGCTTGTTATGTACAGGGGGAGGTCAAATATTCTGTGGAACGGTATATCTATCACAATATTGGTCTAATTTGGCGAGAGAAGCAATCGCGACATACTGGTAATTGCGTATACAGAGTTATTAAAAAAAGGCAATATTTCTAGAGCAGATAGTTTGTCCAATATTTAATAGTCAAGGAAGATCTAAGCATCCTGATCAAAAAGGATCCCTTTAACGAATTTGCAACTTTCCATGCTCAAAATTGGGTAAAAAAGTGCCAGAACAATTTTTTTAACGCAATCCAAAAGTCGTTTCGCCGGTATTTTCTATTTTCTAGCCATACTGAACAAAAAAGGTTTTTGTCAACTTTTTTCTGAAGTTTATAGGTAGGTAGTTTCTGAGATGTAAGCGATTCATGATCAACTAAAAAAAAGGATTTACAATAGCACTGATGCAGTTCAAGTCACGATAAATAATTTCTGTACCTACTGGCTATGTTATTCGTAGGTATCAGATATACAAAATTTTTGGAGAACGCCTTTATACACTCCAATATCATAATTAGGTTAGGTGGCTTTTTTAGAATTATTTTCTGTTCATTTTTTCTTAGTCCCCTGGGGGAGGTGGGTGTAGGTTCCCCTTCATTATAATAGTTATCAGAAGAAATTTCTTCATTGTTTTGCAAACTGAGCTTGGCTTGAAAGAAATAAACGGAAGAATTGATTCAGATGTGCCATCTAGCTAAATGATTTTAAGATCTCTGATTATACATCCCTGAACAATCTAAACATCTGCTGCGATCTCCAATGAGTTCGTGCAAGTACCTATCGCAATTTGTAATCACCTATAGCAGATAAAGACAATATGCATATATTGCATATTGCAACGAATGCATTAAAGGAAATCTTAGTTGGCAATTAAAATTCTTTATACCTACCTTTTGGAAAGATTTTAATTAAGTGATAAGGATAAACGATTTGCTATTACGTTTCGTTTAATATTCAATATAATAAATACCTATATTTGCTAACGGCTTTCTTAACATCACATTTACAAAAAAAAAAAAGAATAACACCTTATTGTTCACAAACTAACATTATGTTGCTACGAGAAAATACTCTGGAAAACACTTCACCTCTTCACCGTGTTTGACTAGCACACTAGCATCCTTTAATTCCTACGCCACTGGACGAGGAAGTACTGTAATCGCCAAAGTGAGATGTTCTTCTATATGACATATATACGAAGACAGTCCGATGTGAACTTAGCCTACAAAAGAAAAACGAAAATTTTGGAAAACTTCTTTAACCCGTCTGAAAAATACGTTTTCTGGAGATCTGCAAAGTAAGCCTTCGTGGCGGCGATAACCTCCTCATTCTGCGCAAATTTTTGCCCGCCGAATGACATTTTTTTACAGAAGGGTACTAGGCCAAGGACGAAAAAGTACTAGCAGTTTTAGAAAATCGGTCCAGTGACGACGGAGAAAAAAATTATAGCTTTTCCCCCCCACCAGTACTACTGTTATACCCACAAGCCTATTTCCCGGAATTATTGTCTGACCAGTTCTTTGACTTCGTTCCTTTTGTGATTGTTGGAACCAGCATTGCAGGTTTTGGACTTGTGTAGAGGTCAGATAAGACTTTTTTTTGGACTATCTCATCCTAAGCAAAGCTAATGTGATGCTATACGACGAAATACTCGCATTTATCGTGTTTATGTAATGAGACGGTGCGAATATGATTACATACGATTATAACAAAGCTTCTTTAAAAATACTTTGTGCTTGTATTAAAAAATATACTCACAGCAAACGTATAATCACATTCCCTTATTTAGTAGGTAGGGATAAACTTTTCATCGGTAGCTAAGACGCATATCACTTCGTTAGAGTAAAAAAGCAAAAGTGTTTCGTCATGTTTTTGAACTTGAACTCATTTGCCAAAAAAAAGTCACAACATTTTCATGCTTCACTGTGCATCGTACACATAACTTTTTGTTGTACGTTCAACTACATTATTATGTGCTATTATCCGCATAGATAATGTATCAACAACAACAATTAGTTTGTTCATAGGCCGTTGATAAAATACCGGAGCTGTCTTAATAGATTCATATAATTGGGGTTTTCCGTTAATTTACAAAAACTCATTATCAGCGAAATACCGAATAATAGATTCTTGTAAAGCTTGGCTTCAACAGGATGTTGACTAATCGTTTTAGAATATCGAAGATTGTGATCAAGAAAAGAGGCTTTCACAGAAAAGTTTTGATTAAATGTGTAGGGTAGACCGGGGACAGTTGTACCAGGGGTCAATTGTAACATTTCAAATATGCCCTAGAGTGAGACCGCTATATAAACTTCGCTCGGATGCGCGCGTCACCAAACAACTGCGGTTCTGATTTCAGTGTGCCGGCGGCCATCGCTGAGAGCGTTTGTATCTTAAGTGTATTTGTTCGTTTCCGCACGTCAGAAGTAAGTTTTTATTTTTTTTTTCAAATGTTCGTAGTTCTTTTTTACTGCGTAATATGCCTGATGTTTTTTCTCAATTAGATTATGGGTAGTGTTAACTACTTTCTGTAAGAGTTACACAAAAAACACAGCAGTGCATATTACAGAAAAATCCATTTTTGTTTTAAAAAGACAGTTGGGGTCAATTGTAACAAATCGTCAGGGGACGATTGTACCGCTACAATTGACCCCTGATTTGTATTTGTTTCGAAGAGGGTTTTCTTTTTATTTTAGATGCCACGGAAAAGGATTAATAAAACGGAAAGAGCCTCACGTGATCTATCTTTATATGAATCTGCATATGATGTGGTACTGTCTGGAACGTCAATTCGAGCAGCTGCAGCCCAATTTGGTCTGTGCCATGTGTCCCTATTACGTTATAAGAAGAAAAGAGAAAACTCAGTCGATTGCATTACAAAAGTTAGTATGGGATACAAGCCCGCTAATCGTGTTTTTTCAAATGAACAAGAAAACGAAATGGTTAAATATATCAAGAAAGCAGCAGATATTTATCAAGGTTTGTCGCCCAAGGATATAAGAAAATTGGCACTGCAATTAGCAACAAAATATAATTTAAAAATGCCCGAAAAATGGACTGAAAGTGGCTTAGCCGGTGAAGACTGGTTTTCTGGTTTCATGTGCAGGCATAAAGATTTATCTATAAGAACACCACAGGCAACAAGTCTCTCAAGGGCTACTAGCTTTAATCCTACCAATGTTGCCGCTTTCTTCTATAATCTGGCCAAAGTTATGGACCGTGAAAAGTTTGAAGCGAAAGATATTTATAACGCCGATGAGACCGGGATTACTACAGTCCAGAAGCCAAACAGAATTGTAGCTAAAACTGGAACTAAGCAAGTTGGTGCTATCACATCGGCAGAACGTGGCACTCTGGTTACGCTGACTGTTGCCGTTAATGCGCTAGGGAACTCTATTCCAGTTATGTTTGTTTTCCCAAGATTAAGATATCAAGACCATTTTGTTCGGGATGGTCCTCAAGGTTGCGTTGGAGCCGGTAATGGGTCTGGATGGATGCAAGAAAAAGAATTCATAGTATTTTTGAAGCATTTTCAACATCATACCAATTCATCTCAATTCCATAAAGTTTTGCTACTACTAGACAACCATTCATCGCACATCACCATCGAAGCATTGGATTTCTGTAGAACGAATGGTATCGTCATGCTTTCGTTCCCTCCACATTGCTCACATAAATTGCAGCCCCTAGACCGCTGTGTATATGGGCCACTCAAGAAAGCTATAAATTCTAGTTGTGATGCGTGGATTCGAAATCATCCAGGGAAACCTATGCCGATATATGATATCCCAGGGATCACTGCAACAGCTATTCCTCTGGCACTAACACAGAGTAACATTCAGGCTGGTTTTAGATGTACAGGTATTTTTCCCTTCAATAGAGATATATTTTCTGAAACAGATTTTGGTCCATCATTTGTTACTGATAGACCCTTACAGCCATCAGAAAACCAAGAACTGACTGTTAATAATGAGCAAACAGCTAACAGCAAGCCTCCTGCTGAGCTAGAAGGTGTCAATACAGGTATCCCCTGTTTAATTGATTCAGATAGTGACGAAAATATTCCGTTGTCTGCGTTTCGTTTAAAGGAAGGAAGAGCAGATGCGATCCTTATCACCTGCAAAACTTTTACAAGTTCATGACGAAGCCACTCCAACTTCGTCAGAATTCGTAAAAGTTGTATTTTCCCCAGAAAACGTTAGACCATTTTCCAAAGCTCCACCAAGAAAAGGTACAATGAAAGGAAGGAAAAAAAGAAAGTCCGCAATTTATACAGACACCCCAGAGAAATTAGAAATAGAGAAAGAAGTTGAGGAAAGAGAAAAAAAGCGAGTAAAAAGAAACTTAGGCAGTCAGGGAAATAGACCAAATAATAAAGTTCCTAGAAAGAAAAAAACTGGATCGGCAGAAAGCAGTGAAGACGAAAATGAATATTTTTGCCTAGTTTGCGTCGAACCTTATGGGAATAGCAGAAAGGGCGAGAAATGGATCCAGTGCACACAGTGCAAGATGTGGTCACACGAAGACTGTGTAGGACAAAACTTGTTCTAAGTTTGTCACAATTGTGAGTCAGAGTAATTGTCTGAGTTGGGTATCTCTTAAAGAAACAAGATTGATTTTCATATTTTTTTATTTTGCGTTTACCGTTTTTAAGCTTTTATTGTTCTTAGCTTGAATAAAGAGTTCAAGTTTTTGTTTGCCGACATCCCTTTATTATTAGATATAGGTATTTGTGATTTTTCTTGTGTATTTGCTCATTTATTTGTGACAATACGAATGCTCATGTTTTATGCCAAAGTATTTGTACAAATTATATATTTGCCGAGTTGGTTACTGCGGTAATGTTTAAATTTGATCAATAAAACTAGTTAAAATATATTAAATATTGATGTTACAATTGACCCCCTTAGCTGGTACAATTGACCCAGGGCCTGGGTCAATTGTACCATTTTACATTATTTTTTAAATGTTAAATAACTTCTAAACGTATTATGTTTCATGCATTACAAAAACCGCATTTTGTAGACTATTAGTTACGTTACTTTCAGCCATACCTTGCTGACT